CCCTCCCCACCACCACCTAGTCCTCCCATTCCACCACGATCAATGCCCTCGCCTCCACCACCACCACCACCACCACGGTCGTTACCACCTCCCCAATCTCCAGCACCATCCTCATTCCTTCCCCCAACAAATATGCCTTCTCCACCGCCACCTGCATCTCAGCTCCCATCCAGCCCTCCACCTCCAGCCATCCAGCCATCCAGCCCTCCACCTCCGCATCCTTTCAGCCATCCACCTCCTTCTCCTTCCCCTTTCCAGCTTCCGTCACCCACGCCATCAATGTTACCACCCTCACCGCCGGTGCCAGCGCCTCCTGTATCAAAACCCCCAAGCCCGCCATTACCCACTGCATCAAGACCACCATCCCCAGGTCCGTCCCCTTCATCTCCTTCACCTCCTCCGCCATCTCAGTCTCCAGCCACCCTGCCACCTCCACTCCAACAACCTCCCGCCAAGTCCCCCAGGTCCCCCAGGTCCCCCAGGATACCCAAGGCTCCCAAACCCGTCAGTCCACCACCTCCATCCCCAGGAGGGAATTCCATCTTGGCCAACGACTTCCCCTTCCTGGATTGCAAGGGGAGTACTACCACTTCACCGTACCGCATGTCATCCCTTTCGGGCCCCTTCAATGTCACGAGCCTAACAGCCACCTACTGTTTTACAGCGGCCGTCAGCAGTTCCCCGGTACCGGGCAGCTCGTGCACCTCAACGACCATTGACAAGATTGCTTTCATTCTCGGTGAGTAATCTAGCGTTTCCAAACAGGCTGCGGTTGTTCGGGCTGACGAACGATAGCCAGGAAGTGTTAGCTAACACACAAGATGAAAACTAGCCCAAGGTAATAGAAAGGAAGCTACGACCCCTCACCACGAAATGAGGACAGAGCACGACAGCTCATGACACCAAAGCAAGGCGGGTCAAGGACGCAATCCAATTGCACGAAATAGCGACCTCTATCACCCAAGTTCGACTCGTCTTCAACCAGCAACCGAACAACCCACCGATCACAGCGCATTTGAACGACCAAGCATACGATCCCACTCGGAATGGCAACCTTTGGGAACCCCTACCAACTCCAAACATTCCAAAAATGCTCTGTAGTGCTTCCCCCCAAAAAGGTGAGTCCTAGAGCCTTCACGGCTTGCTGTACGGTTGTGTTTGAGGTGCCGGATAGGACAGGGTGAGGCGGAACCGGGACTGCCAAGGGCCTTACACTACTGCAGACAGAAAATATAGCAGGAGGCCCCCCGCCTTGGCGGCCCATAGCACAGGCGAGGCCCAGGTTGCATGTGGTTTCCAGTGCGGCCTCGTCTTCAAGCCGCGTGTATAGCTGCACCATTGCGTCCGTCTTCCAGCAGCCATGGGCCTTGCCGGCCTCTTCAGGTACCCCTCTGGCTGCTGCCGCACTGTTTTCCCCAATGCGCATGGAGTGTGGCATGATTCCGCGCTTGATGCCCGCAGCGCTGCACATGGCAGCGAGCTTCTCCCGGAAAGAGGTGTAGCTGAGGTTGCTGATAGGCGACTGAACAGAGCCAGTCCTCTGCTGCAGCTGGTGGCCTTGCTGTGTCACCTTAACCCTGCGCAGCAGCGGACCCACATCCTCCACGGGGGAACTGGGGACACGGACATAGTTACCAACAGCGTTATTTTTTTGAGGAATATATTCCGAATTCGGAATAAAAAAATGTTCGTGGTCCTGAAAGTTAAGAACAAATAATGTTCCGACCGTGCAAGTTCATTCCTCCAGCCAAAAATGAGCTGTCCATGTCAAAGCCGCTAGAATCCAGGAGACATACATGTTACCCATATCACAGTACTTTAATGCCATGGATACTGTTAGGAAGCTCACGCCCGAAAGTCAACGAGGAATCGGACTGCAGTCAGAAACAGCTGTTTCTGACCGGACCAAACGCTGCAAAACATTCGGACCCTAAGCTCCCAAAGCGTGTTAGGTCATTAAAGCAGATATAAAAAATCACTGAAGCCATTAGCGACGTTAATGAAGACGGTGTAGAGGTCGTAAGGAATGTGGGCGCAATGCTGCAGCCAGCCGACGACAATGACGCCACTCCGGTTGTCAACAGCGAGCGGGCCACATGTCAACGTTCGTCATATGGAGACAATCGCGATGGGCCAGGAAACCGGTTGCGTTTGGTGGTTCCGGTCCATTGCTGCTATGCATCATTACTTTTGCAATCTGGAAAGTCGAGTAGTGTTATCTTTCAACGTGATGCAAGACGAACGATAGTGAACGAACTCTATTCGATCAGTGTTTGAGAGATTGTGGTGTGCGCGTGTTGCGGCATTCCCCACGGCGTTTGCACGAAGTAAACTGTAACTCATCGGGGGGGTTCTGGGGGGGGGGGGGAGCCCCCCCCAGCGCCTTACAGATTCGGAATACTTTTATTCCTGCGACTAAAAGCCTATTCCTCCGTTCGGACTGGAAAATTCACCGGCAAAATTGAAAAGAAAAACACTGGTTACCAAGCGCCAGCAGCCTCTCTGTCAAGCCCACTGGCCAAGCCACGCCCCTCATGCACGTGATCTGTACGGTCTGCTCTTTGCCCTCCTGGTCCATTTTGGACCTCGGCAGTGTAATGGCCATGTGAGTGTCGTGCAGGGTGAGCAGGTCGTGCTTGAGGGAAATGTGGGCTAGGTCGTTGGACCTCAGGAAACCCGCGAACATGACCGATATGGCCGCTACCCTCATCAGGTCTGGCAGTGATGCATCCGGCCCAGCGAAGTGAGCAGCCAACATGCGGACATGCTCTGGTTGCAACTTCTTCCCATGCAGTGTGCGCCTGCCCAGGTCCCGAACGAGGTTGCATGCTGGGTGCTCCGTTGCTGAGGGGCGGCCTGCAAGAAAGAAATGGCAGGCAATAGCAGTGCTCGCCCCCGTGACGCGACCCAGACCTACTTCATCCGCTTGCGCGGTTTGGTAGACGTATATCAGGTACATAGCCACCAACTCTGGCCTGATATCGTAAATGTCGCTCGCCCGAATGTAATGTAATGTAATGTTACAGAGTGGGAAGCTTCTGGGCCGCTTTATCATCACATTGTCAGTTCTACGATTTATCACCTTGTAGCACCATCCACCACTACCACACTGTACTTCGCCATACGAACTGTAAGTCCAAGGCGGCGGATCCAGCCTTCAGGGACCCCTCCTCATCCATTCACCCGAACATTCGAAGAGACGGAGGGTTCGGCAAACGCCACCAATCCAGCGTGCGAATCTGGTCCATCAACTGTGACCTCAATTCCACATCTCAGCAGCTTGCCATAATCTCGCGCTCCCGACTAATTCGGGTAAGCACCCGGACGACTTGGTGCCGTAGGCCCGCAGGGCCATTAAGGTTTAAGTGCGTGTAGGACTGCCTGGAGCTCCTGGGGCGTTGACCCCATCGAACTGACCCTTTCTCCCCACTTACCGCGGGCTTGGGCCATCTTCCCGTTGATCAGCGTCCAGGCGCCCCAACCCCCGAGGTGCTTGGGGGATTTCCCAGCTGCATCGCAGAAAACGACTGAGTGCACCTGTGGGGCTCCCAGAGGGGACGGGTTCCGTTAAAACGGTCGAAGCAGCGCGGCCAGAACTCGAGCTCTGCAGTTGTGTCGTTAGATAAGCGGATGTGGGTATCCCAGGTGTGGCGCGACTCGATGTCCTGCCCCAGAGCCCAGGTGTAAAGGCGGGCTACTGGCCCGAAAGCCCTGGACATGGACAAGAGCTGCCCTTTTCTGGAGGCCAATTTTCTCGCATTGATGTGCCTTTTTTCCAGAGCCGAGCAGATGCAGTCGAGCAGGAAAGTGTGCTTGTCATCAGGCACGATGTACACACCCTTAGCTGTATCTAACAGCATACCCAGATATCGCATGTGCTGCCAGGGGCTCACCCAGCATTGATTTGTCTCGGTTCACGCAGAACCCCAGGCGCTCGAGGAGGTTGAGGATTATTGCGTGGCGGGTGATGAGGGTCTGGGTGTCCTGGTGGGTTTGGATCTGTAGAACCTGGTACACAGTACGGCTATACATATAGGGCCTAGCCAGCCTGGGACCTGCGCAAGCAAGTTACAAGTTACAAGAGCCGCACGAGTGCGGGGGGGTCCATCAAAGCCGGGAGGCCATGGACTATATATGTTGACTGTTGATTACATTGCACAACCGGCGGCGGTTTTGGGTCCTGCCAATTAAACCCCTCCTCATCCAATCATCCGACATCTGTAGAGACAGATCCGCCATCAACACCATCTCAGCATGCGAAACTTAGTCCATCAACTAGACCTCATCTCCACACCACAGCGGCAAAACCGCTGCTCCCTGGGGACATGGTACTTGCCCCTTCGTGCTCTGTTTGCCTCCAAAGCCCAGTAACATAAACGAAACTGCATTAGCTTACGATGTGCTAAACGAGGAAGAAAGCCTTTCTTTCCTCAGGTTTGAAACCTGAGCATGTGTTGGCCACATGCCGGCTGCAGCTCCCGAAAAGGGCAACCCCATCCAGTGCTAATACTTTGCCATTTGCACTCCCGGTTGCTTCCCATCTGATGGGTAATCCTCTGGCAAGACAGTCAGACGCGTATGGTCCCAGCCGCTCATCAAACGCTCTCTTAGTGCCGTCATCATCGCTCCTTCGGGTAGAGGCCTACTCAACAACCAGTCAACACGCTCCTTTACCCCCATGACTTCTTGCGGTATTCCGCTCCAAATATTGCACTCCAAGAAGGAAAACAGGTGTAACATTGAGGGTCATAGATGAAGGTGGCATATATGAAGGTGGTGCAGGGCAAAGATGTTGCACCCGATCAGCTTGTCAGGCAGGAAGGCTGTCTGCTCCTGGGAGATGGTTGAGGGCATACGGCCCGTGGTGTTCATGGCTGTCTCGAGGATGGCCTGGAGGGGTGCCAGCTGCAGGCGAAGTCTTTATACAGCTCTGCCGGCAGCCTGTCCCACCCTGGGGCCCTGCTGTGTGGTGCATTACTCTCCGAAGATGTAACAGGCTCATATGAACCGGAGGTCCAAGGGGCTGTGCAAAGTAGGTAACTTGTAAGACGCATATGACCAACTGGGGTTTTTGACTGGCTTTGTCAACAGGGGGGATGGCCAAGGATATTATTATTGGGACGTCCTGGTAGTGTTATGTTACATGGAATATGCCACGCCATATCCACCGTCAGTAGCACATGTCCAGTATTCCGTGCACACAAATACTGGTAGTTGTAGTATCATGCAGGGCCGCCAGCCCGCCAGTATCATAAGTGTCGTACAGAAATACATGTACATACCGACGCCCCCAGAAGTTACGTAACTTACATATACTGGATCGAGACCTGCCCGGGTTGATAATCCTTCCGATGGTGGTATGACCATGGTCTTGGTAAAGTAGACCTGCGAGCCGGTCAGGAATGGAGTTGGGCCGCTGCCAACCCGGCAGACTCCGTTGGATGCCGGTGGTAGGTCCAGAACCTGAGCAATCCACTGAGAAGTTGACTAGGGTGGCTGAATGAGGGTGCCCCGTAATACCGGGGAAGTCACGGTTTCGCCAGGTAGCAGCCATGGGCGAAGATATGACCCCCATGTCCCACACATCATACACGTACGTGAACAACGTACAGCAAAATAAGGTTAGGGTCTGCTCGCAACTATGATACTTGACAGCTTGCTTGAATCAGTTCACTATAATATACCACGTCTGAATTGATCCTGGGGCACTTCCAGGACCACTATGCCGTACAATGTTTGCTAAGCTGTGCTATATATATGTCTGGATATAGGGTTTGGCACTACTGGTAACGCGCGACCATTGCCCCCGGGAGATCTCGGGATCGATATCCATTAGGGTCACAAATTCTTTCGATTGCGGAAGGTATTGCGCCCCTTTTTGATGGACGGTGATGATCTGGGATAAAGTTAATCTGCAAGCCGACCAGGAATAGAGTTGTGCCACTGTCGACCCGCCAGATCCCGTTGGATGCTGGTGGTGGGTGCGGAACCTGAGCGACCCACTGAGAAGTTGACTAGGGTGACTTGATGAAGGTGCCCCGAAATACCGGGGAAGGCAGGGTTTCGCTGCCACGGGCGAAGATATACCCCCCTGTTTCATACATCATATGTCTGGAGCCGGAGGGATGGAGAGCGGTGGCCCATCCTCACATCCTGGGGAGGTGTAGTACCTGGTTCGCAGTACCGCACACGCATCAACTACAATTACGCTTGAAGCGCTTCACCCGTAACTCGAGAGGCCTTTTCAGCGGCCAGCTACTGCAGGTGTTTGGGCACGCATCCTGTCAGTCGGATACATCCCACACACCCCTACCCTTTTCGTATCCCCCTTACCTATCCTCGAGTCAAACATCCCGCATCTTAGTGACTGCACCCCCTCCCCTCCGCCATCCTCATCCTTGGTGGGTTGGTGTGGACCCTTCCAAATATGTCCCCATCCTGGGCCCTCTGCCATCCTTATCCTTGGGGGGTCCACATTTCTATTCTACTCTTTCCTATCCGTATCTGTGCCCGACCCTCCACTGCATCCTGACCGCTCTGCAACCCTCCTCTGGAGCCAATCAGGAACCCACACATAACGATAGGAAGATAACCTTGCCGGGTTCATACATGCTTATCCCAGCGCCAAATCCCGAACCAATTGTCTACAAGGTTTTGGGCAAATCAAGGACAAACTATTTTGGCATATACGTTAATTCGCGAATCAACGTTCGCGATGAACGTTCAGTCTGGACTGATCGATTCGGTTTCTCACCGTTAGGATTGCTTTCGTCGGTGTCTTTTATGGTCTATAGACAGGTTCATATCATGGAGAAATAAATCATATGTCTACTCATTGTACAGAATGGTCTATATATCGTGCCATGGTATAATAGACTACAGGCCTAGGGCTGGTCTATAGACACTCGCTCTTAATTTTCACCAGATGCTGGCCATGGACTGACAAAGTGCATGTTCCGCCTGCCTACCTGTAGCAGCTGACCGCTGAAAAGGTCTCTCGAGTTGCTGGCGGTCGCACTCTGTGCGTATTTATAGCACCGTACTGTGTACCGGCTGCTACATTCCCCCCCCTTTGAAGGGAACCATCCCGGGCCCTTAGAGCCTCGTATACCGCCAGCCTGTGCCTACCTTCGCCTACCCTCGGGCAGTGGGTACTTACTCCACGTCACGTCATGTGCCGGCTCACATGCGCCTAGCCGTCTTCAGGTTTTTCAGGCACAGAGACAGTCCAGTCGGTTCAGCTACTTTTATAATTTGTGCGATATTCGCTCTCTGAGTCGCCAGACCCGATTTCCACTCAAGCGTGATTGGTGGGGTTTGAACCGACGACTTCAGGATCGTGAATTTTCACGAGGTCTCGATACCAAATGTAGCAGCTGACCGCTGAAAAGGTCTCTCGAGTTGCTGGCGGTCGCACTCTGTGCGTATTTATAGCACCGTACTGTGTACCGGCTGCTACACTACCGGTCACACCCGACACGTGAATTAACCCCCCGTACCCTACCTGCCCTACCTGCCCTACAGACATATCCTGCGTGAGTGACGATGCCAAGCGCCTCCAGAGTACCACAATCAATGGTGAAGTTGTGACCTTCAACTACCGGACGAAAAAGTGGAAGGGCGAGCAGTTCGGCTTGCTTATCTTCGACAAGCTGGATAACACCTTCCCAGTGACCCCAGCTACGGGATTGCGCCTGTGCATGGTGCTGCAAACCGGCGGCTCCTGCAGTACGCCCGCGGGAATGTGCCAGGGCGGCGCCAGCAGCGGCAGCTGCGTCTACTTGCTGTCTGATGCTGTCTACTCTTGCTGTGCAGTCAGTGAAGCGCTGCTCTGAGCCGGTGGATGTATGGCGATGTTTATTGTATGATGCCTATCTGACCTGCAGCGGTTGTGTGCCGCTACTGCATGCCTACCTTGCATTTTGCTAGGTAAAGCTTGATAGCATGTGATATACAGCATAAAAATCGTGTATGAAAGCCTGGTCACACATTTATTGCATGACGACTAATCATACACAACTACAGTTTTTTGAGTAGTTGCCTTACCGCTTAGGGGTCGTCCAGACGGAGAGGTACCTGCAGGCAGGAAAGTGTGCTTGACTTCCGTGGGTGGTGGGGGGTGAGCCTGGTTACCGAGCGACTCTGCTTCTGAAGCCTGTAGGTTAGGGCAGAAGCCGCAGCGGAAGCCTGTCAGTACTGACGCTATGAACTCGCGCGACCTATTCTAGCCCTGTACGGTCCAGCCGTACACACCAACGACCAGAGGGTTGCAGAGATGGGGGATTGGGGGCAGGTACTGGTCAGGCGGGATGGGGAATAGGGTTGACGACATCAGGATGGGATGTGGGGCCCAGGGCGAGGATTAGGGATTAGGCGTGCTACACTACTTTTGGGATGGGGATTGCTGTCGGGGGTGAGGATGGGGATGGGATCCCTGTCTGAGGGATGGGGATTGCAACCTTGACCAAGGAGGGGATTGGGAGCCCTGGCCAGGGATGGGGATGGGACCCTGGTCGACAGGACGGGGATTGCAGGCTTTCGCAAGTTTAGGATGAGGTCGCTGCCATAGGATTGGGAACACAGTTGGAGGATTAGAATTGGGTGTTCTGCTGTAAAATGAGGCTGCAGGTGCAGAACTTGGAATACTGACAGGACTGCAAAACAGGCCAAGGATGGATGGTTTAGTTCTCCATAGTTGCTTACATGGAAACTCAAACAAACACAAGGAGGTTCTGCTTGCAAGTCGCGTCCCATAGCAAACCAAACTCAAACACAAGGAAGTTCTGCTTGCAAGTTGCGTCCCATAGCAAACCAAACTCAAACACAAGGAAGTTCTGCTTGCAAGTCGCGTCCCATAGCTAACCAAACTCAAACACAAGGAAGTCCTGCTCCGGCATCGGCCGACTGCCCGATGGGGTCCATCCCAAGCGTTTCCACGATGACTTCGGCCATGTCCCTGGCGAAGCCCAACCCCGTCAATTTTGCCAGCTTTTGACGCTTCTGCAGAAGGTTAACACCATTAGGAATAGAACAGGCATGGAACGCGACTTGGTGTAAATGTGAGAAACGTGCACCATTGGTGCCAGTTCTTCAGTCAGACGCAGTCCAACCCCGTTCTTACCTTGTCCGGCCCATGCACATCCACACCCAGGGCACCATCGGATGCCATTCTGGAAGAGATAACAAACGGTCGTCGGGCTATTACTAGCTTGCGCTTAAGCGCAAGGAGATGGGCGTCTTCCAAGACGAAGTTTGGGACACGGGACACCTTGAATAAGACCCGAACGTAATCTGTATGCAATCTGCAGACCCTACTGGGGGACAAGTCCGCAGGAGGCGTATCAACATGCAAGACGTTATCAACAGCAAGCCGGTTTGGGGGTCCAAGTACAGCCTGTCACGCTGACTAGTTGGACAAGGCTGTATACTCTTCTGCGTGAAGGCATAATGACTTCACCAGGAGAGCAGCAAGAATGAAGTCGCCACTGCGACCCAGTTGTACGACAGCACCACAGAACCAGCCTTAGAAGATCCGGTCGCTTCGCTCCGTCGCATCTAAGCCAACAAAACGTTATCAACAGCAAGCCGCTTTGGGGGTCCTGGCTCAAAGTGAGGCCCACCCTGGAGTTAGTTGTTAAGCTTTCATGTTACTTCCTCATACAAACTGCTTCTCTAGTACTGTGATGTTTTATTGGTTATATTCATGCAAACTGAGCTGAAGTTGCAAGGCGCGAAGATGCTGGCCGCATCATGCCGCACCGCATTCCCAAGCCAGTATGCACAACTCTGAGAAAGTTTGCAGTCTTTATTGTTTTGTTGTGGCACAACTCCACGTAACTCTGCACATTATAGTGCATAGGAGCAATTCTTGCGCAGAAGTCCAAGTCGACTCAAAAGCATTCCAAT